AAGTCACTCTCCGAGTTTTTGTTCAATTTAAAGTTGATATTTTTGTTCAAAAAACAACAATTTCTAAAATATCAGTATTTATAACGTCGACTTCTGTTCTTAATAAAAGAAGAAAAATTGAACAGCTGAGTATCTTCTTTTATCTTTGATATCTGTTCTTATTTTCTATTTTTTATGCAATTTTCTTTTCACAGGTCCAAAATTACCGTCATCAACCTACTGTTTTTGGATATTTTGGCGGACTTTACTAGTTATTTATTTTCGCATCAACTGATATTGATTTTATTTCGATTTATTTTTTTCTATTGCTTTTATTTTTTTCTTCAGGGGGACTTCGTCCCCCTGGACCCCCTCCCGCGCCCACACCCGCGTCGGGCCTTCGTGACGAAAAATAGTATATGCCATTCGGGCGATAGCGTTGGTTTGTGAGTCGTGTGGAGTTTGCAACACTCGGCATGGCAAGCGTCCGACTCGGATCGCCTTCGGCGATCCTCGTCTCCTGCTTGCCACGCCTCTTGCTGCAACTCCACACTCCTCACAAACCGCCGCTTATCGCCCTCATGACATAATGTACTATTTCCATCTGAATTCTTAAAAAAAAATTGTTTTCTAAAAAATCACCGATAATAATTTATTTTAATTATTCACATGAATAAATAATAATAAAAGCCCATATAAACTCTTCTTAAGTGTTGATATTCGCTTCAGTCAACTTTTTTTAAGCGAATGCAACTCTTTCCTAGTGTGAAGAAAAATTACTTCTTAAATTTCAAGTGAAACATCCTGAAATTCCTGATGACTAATTCACATGAAATTGACATATATTTTGTGAGTAACAAATCAGTTGCTCTCTGAAATGTTCCATGAAAATACAGTTCTCAGATCCACATAAAAAAGAAAATGGCGAATAATGAAAAACTCAATTTCGTTGAATTTCCGAGATAAATAAGAAGTTCCATGAACAATTTTATCTCAAATTAAATGCAAATTCATAGTACTGAAGACTAAAATGCAGCTATTACCTTAATTTCACAAAATTTCCGACAGTTTACGCCTCCAATTGGAAAACAATATTCCCAATCCACATAAAAAATGAGCAATTCGCCGCGCTCACTTGGGATGCCCCACGCGGAGCTCAAAATCCCCCGATATCATTCATCAAGAAGACTGCCTGTATTTACGAGCGCGACGGATTCTTCCGTTCCTTCATTTTCATTCTACTCCATTACCGTTATTTTCCCGCCACTTTCAAGCCAACCTATTCCATTAAACAGTCTGATTTTCCGGTTAATGAATTTTGTGGGCTCGATTATCCCCCTCTGACTGCCGCATTCTCCACCGAGGAAGAATGGATTCCAGTGAAAAAGAAGTGCAGCATAAAATTAATAAACGACGCTGTGGTTCGTTGTGGTTTAATAATTCTGGAATATCGATTGGTGTATTCTTCCGCCGCGTGGCAATGCCCACCCGTGAGAGCCCCAAGACCCTTCATACTTTCCCGCTGCGGGACTTCTTCGAACTCTAAAAACACTTATTGAAACATGGAAAATTATTTTACAGCTATTTTCGTTGTTTTTATTTTTATTTTTTTCAGTTGTCGACAAAATAATTCTCTTCTGCACAGGAATTATGGCATTAAAGCATACATAACAGCTTAATAAGGGTTTTTATTAAGTATATTTCAGAATTAGAATCAAATAATTCTAAACTAATGTGTCATTATTGAATAATGTCTGTAATTCTCATTGGTTCATATTTTCTTAACACATCACAATTTATTCAGTATTTAAAAACAATAATTACTGATTATTGCTGCTGAACACATTGTCGGAAAAGAAAATTCCATGCGCATTTCATTTTTTGGAGAAAAAAAAATCATAAAATTTTAATCAAAACATGAATTAATTGAATACATTAAATTAATTGAAAATGCAAAAATACATTTATCTGAATCTTCCCGAATTTAATTAATTTTAATGGAATAATTGATCTAAAATTTACAGCTGCCATCGTTTTTTTCGGCAATTTCCTCTTTTCGAAGACGAAATTCTTCGCAATTTCAGGGGAACTATTTCTCACAAAATTGTGAACAGTGCATGTGCAAGCGCAGTTCAAACACGACCGATGTCTGACGAATACGTCCAAAGAATACAAATAATTCATCACGATCACTAAAAAAACTCACTGACAGCACAAATTCCATTCATTCCCAAAATTAAGCAATACAGCCCTAGAAATTTTCTGCCGCTGGCCCTGCGAACCCTCCGGAAGGCACATCCGTGGGGGAATCCCCGTAACAACGGACACCCAGTTCGTCCCAGATGGCGCCAGTGAAACCTGCAACACAAGAGCAAGCAAAAGCACTGATTGCAGATGGACTAATAGTACCCACTCACAACGAACCCCGTTTTCTAGATCCGATCTATTAGCCCCTCATGTATAGATATTCCAAATTTTTATTTTTTTCCTCATTGAAGTAGTTTTGAAGAGAATTGCGAGCTAATAAAAAACATTTGCTAGTTAGTACTTTTTTTAAAATAAATTTTTGAAAAAT